TTGATGTAATTCTATTTTTTAGTCCACACGCCCCTTGTGGAAATCAGCTAAAAGTTGTCGGGGCAAGCGTGTTTTTTAAAAATAAAGTTGACCTAAGCAATATGGAGTGCAGAGAAGCCATTTTCATCCAGCGAGTTTATAAGCGTTCCGTCATCTATGATCACTGATTTGACAACGCTAATAAGTCCTTCGGTTGTTGCTTTACTTAGCTTTGTCTGCGCTGCGTTCTTGCTCTTTGTTTTGGTGGCTTTTCCGATACCATTTGAGACGTTTTTTTGTCCATCGTGTCCTCGGTTCTTGGTGTTTTCAGTCTTGTCATAAAAACGAACATTTCCATTTATATCCGTTTGCTTTGAATCGGTTTTCTGCGTCTCTTCATCGTCCGAATAGTTAACCCCAACATTTGAGAACATACTCAAGCTTTGTCCACATATATACAAATCATATCAAAAATGAAACTATAGGAAAAAGAACTTAAGACATCAAATTAAAGCAATACTAATAATTGGACGACAAAATACCGGCAAACCTTTTCCACAACAATGATGTTTTAATAACTCCCCAGAGAGTTATATTTTCTTTAAATTGTTTTGAATATAATTTGTCAAAGTGTCGCATATACTGAACACTAATTCCTTGAAAGTTTAAAAAGGTTTATGCTCATATAACTCTATTAAAAACTTGGAAAACCGTTATTAGTAATCTACAAGTTTTTATTTCGGGTTTTAGAACTATGACTTTGATAGAATCTTAGTTAATTGTGGCTTGCTGCAAGTGCTTGAATTGAGATGTAAAAATAGGAATTTCAATCGAAGACGATTACTTAGTAGAAATTTAATTAATGCTTTAGATAAATCATATTTGGCACAAATTAATGTTACGTAAACAAAGCGTTAGTAATTAACGCGAGCTTTTGTTAATTTGTGTTCTTAATGATACACTCTACGAAATTACTCGATTTGATTGGACAAGAGGAGTACGATTACAGAGGCGGCGGAGCCCTTTAAATCGTGGGGGGCTCATTTTTGAAAAATTCCAAAATACATTAAACGTTCTCCGTTGACATTAACAAATTCTTTGGCAATGTTAACAATGTCAAGCGTGWCTGTAAATGACTTGTGGCAGTACAACATAAGACAACTGTTCAGACGTTCTTGCTTCACAGTACTTCATAGATATGTCTTACGACTTTATGATTCTACCTCAAAACGTGGGGGGCCTGGCTCCGCCGCCTCTGGATAACATCCCAAATTATACTCTGTAGAGTCCCAATTAAGTTGCTCAATTTTGTTGAGTGTACTTTAAACAAAAAATCGCACAATCTTCTCGTACAATTCTGAATTTATAGATACTCGTGATGTTTTAGTCAAATTGAACTCGCCTAAAGCCTCGTCCAATTTTGAAAACTTTCAAAAAATCACTCGCACCTATAAATTCCGAATTGTACTCGAGATCATGTGATTTCCTATACTAATTACGACTAATTTTTTAAAGGAAATCACGTAATTAAAGATTTTTTACCAAATCAATGTGTGGTGAAGGATGCCACCTCCGAAATCACGAAATTAACACGTCTCGGAAATTTCATGTAGTAAGGAGTATAGTATACATTCAAAAATATCCATACCTCCCCCACAGAGTGGGATTGGAATTTCCAAGGGGTGGGGAGGGTCTGAGGAGGGTATATTGTGTAGTACCAGAAAATATCCATACCTCCCCCACAGAGGGGGATTAGAATTTCCAAGGGGTGGGGAGGGTCTGAAGAGGGTATATTGTGTAGTACCAGAAAATATCCATACCTCCCCCACAGAGGGGAATTGGAATTTCCAAGGGGTGGGGAGGGTCTGAGGAGGGTATATTATGTAGA